CTGCGAGAGATTCACCACCCCTTTTTGTAGTTTCCTATTAGAGCCATGTCTCCTGCATCCTGTAGCTGGGACCCCCTTGTGCAAGGAGTCAGCTATTTCTTGTTTTTGTTTTGTTATAGGCTGCTCAGATAATTCACTCTTTCAAAAGACCTAAATTCAGTTCTCAGTAGTCACATTGGGCAATTCACAACCACCTGTAATTCCCTCCCAGGGAATCCAATGCTCTTTTCTGGCCTTTGCTGGCTTACAGATACACATTTACATACAATCACACAGAAACATGCACAAATCAAAATAAAATAACTCCATGTTAAAGTGCAGTTTAATGGTTTTAAATAGTGCATATTTAAATAAAGGGACCACTGGGCCATTCAAATACACATCCTCCCTCATGAGAGCATGGTAGTAAGGGAACAGAGCTCCAGCCCAAATTATCCAAATCTCCAGTTCTAGTTCTGTTCTCATTAAATTGGTATTTGCCTTTGGAAAAAGCCATTCATCTTTCTGAGAGCCAATTTTCTCATTCATGAAATGAGTCTTATATGTCAAAGTCCCTGGAATGAGGCCACATTTCTGTGCCAAGGTCAATGATTCTTTGTAAAATTCCTAACTTTTCATGAGAGTGTAGACCTTCTTCTCTCATACATGAGTCCTTTCAATTAAGAAGCGCTGTCCACAGTGTGTACCACCATGAACTTATAATTCCACATGGAAAGGCCCATAAAAATAGCACAGAATGTATTAACTATGCCTTTCATTGTGTATATACTATTTGGAGTGTAACTGACTTCATATGCATGAACACTTTTCTTCAAATTTGTTTGAATATGTATATTTTGCATATAAATAAAAGTATAATTATCATAGTTGATGACTAAGAAGATTGCTTAGTGGGTAAATGCCTTCTACATGGCATAAAGATCTGAGTTCAGATCCCAGCCTCCTGTAAATGTCAGTTAAGAGTTGTAATCACAGTTCTGGGTGAGGCAAAATGAGCAGATCTCCCATAGGCTTCCAGACCAGCACTCTGGAAGGAATGTTGAGCTCCAGGTTCAGGGAGAACTCTCTCTCAAAGCATACAGTGAAGAGCAGTAGAGTAGGACCGAACACCCACCTCTAGCTTCTGCATACACACAGATGAGTGGCCTACCCACCTGTGATCCCTACATACAAGTGCACAAACACATACATATATGCACACCAAAAATACAATAAAATAAAGAACAGGTTCAATGTATTTCCTGAAGCGGTAAAAAGTATTCACAAACACAACTATTGTGAAATTTTATTTTCCTTGAATGGCATGTAAAATGATCTTTACTTTTATTGTCCAAATTTGAATGAGTACTTGGGATATCCTAGAGTTTGCATTTGGAAGAAAGGGCTAGTCAGATTAATTAATTCACTGCCAGAGAGACCCTTAAAAAGACCTATGGAGTAAACACTCACAAGAGCACGCTTATCTAAAGAATCTTACAGTGCTAATTTTGAGCTACTTTTTTTTTCATTTTCTTGCATCAATTTCAATTGGGTGAATACAATTAGTGGTTTTCTTTTGTGCTATAGAAAGACAGAGAGATGACAGATTTAGATAGATAAATGGATGGATGGATGAATAGATGGATGAATAGATGGATAGATAGATAGATAGATAGATAGATAGATAGATAGATAGATAGATAGATAGATGTTGCAGCATTACTAGCTTTAGTGATATTTTGTATCTACAAAATGGACATATTTATTTTAAAAATTAATTTCCTTTATTTTATCAAGCATTACCTTTTATTGTAAGCAAAGTTGTGAGTTTTTGATAATACTTGAGAACAAGAAATCAAGAAATTGACTTTCCTATATGTGTGAAAATGTTCAATCATAAAACATTAAATATGTCACCATAATTGTACCATTAAGAATTGTCACTATCAATTATAAAAAAAAGTTATCCTTGTTGCTTTCAATGGAAAGAAATCTGAGGAACCGTTTGCACATTAGAATCATTTTTATTGAAATTGATTTGAATATTATAATTAATATACAAAAAAAAGTAAATATGTAGATCAAACTTAACATCATCCCAAACTGGACACCTTTAATTGTAGCATTCAGGAGGCAGAGGCAGGGACATTTCTTAGTTCAAGGTTAGCATGGTCTATGGAACAATTTCAAGGACAGTCAGAGGTGCACAGAGAAATCCTGTCTCCAAAAACAAAAATAAAATATAAATAAATAAAATCATCCCAAACTTTAAATTTACATAACTTCATAATTATTCAGTTTTATGAATGCCATGAACACAATTCAGATACAGCAGTCTCTTACATAATAATTTCCTGGAAAGAGCAACGCCACCTCATATTGACATATCTACCTCAATGAATTAATATTATATAGGGAAGGAAAAATTTATTTTTGCTTTTTTTTCTTTAGGAGTGGAACATAATCTTTATTTACAGGACACTGCAAGATACAAAATTCCACATAGAAATAAGAAACTCAGAGGACAGCTTCATATAATATGTACAGTTTATAACTGTTCAAGAATAGTTTCTTTGTAAAAAGTACTACAATAACAAACCAAATTTAAAAAGAGTTCTGAGAGGAAACAGTAAGACAAATTTATGAGAAACGCAGCACCTAGCTAACAACTTTGTGCCTCAGCTTGACATTAGAAGTTAAAGGTCTCGGGGGCCCCATCCTGAACGTGGAAGGCAAAGCCTTCGGAGGTAGCTTCTGGCACCACATTTTGATCTTCCTTTTCCTCCACTGAGAAATACTTCTCAATCAAGCTCAATGAGGTTTTGTATACAGACTCATTTTCATGGCTCTGTAGTGCTTCGGTTTTGTCCAAGCCTCCACACTCTTCAATCATCATACTGACTTTCTCTGTCTCACCTAGTTTCTCAGCAGCCTGAAAGATATTTGAAATGGCATCAAGAATAGCCAAAATACTTTTGGTATATTTTGCACTTAAGTGGTCCGTCAAAGGTTCTATTATGCCACAATGCACAAAATACGCAATCGGTTCAACTGTCCCACCACTGATGTAGTTGGTTACAGCCCACACAGCTTCCTTCTGTGTCTTAAAGTCGGCCTTAGAGAGGACACCAACAAGAAATGGGACTAAGCCATGATTCACAACTTGCTGTATCTGGTCCTGGCATCCAGCTGTGATGTTTGACATTGTCCACGTGGCTTCCTTTTGAATGTTAGTTTTGGGGTTTGTCAGCAGGCTGGGAAAGACTGCAAGTGCTCCTGCATCTATCACAATTTGAGTCTGTTCATCTGTCACAATTGGCAATTCAGTAGCTCCCAGAAGCTTCACAAGTTGGGGCGCAACTCTTGTCTTCGCAACCATTTCAATGTGCTCGTTTGGGCCATCAGTCAAATAGGAGATAGCCCATCAGGAATCTGCTAACACTTCTGGATCATTGTGATGTAGCAGACGAACTAAAGTAGGAAGAATCTGCTCAACTGCATCTAATGGGGGTGCAGGATTCTTGTTTCGACAAAGGTTTGAGAGTGTCCAGGTAAGATTACGCAGGTAACCGCATGCCAAGGAAGACAGGTCAGGAATTGCAAGAAGTTCCAACAGTGGGTCAACTGCACCATATTTGATAACTAGGTCTCGGAAAACTGAACCATCACCTGCAATGTTTCCAAGAGCCCACACAGCTTGCTCGCTGATTTGAGCATGGGGGGATGCCAAGAGAGAGATGAATGCTGGGATAGCACCTCCATCCACCATGGCCTTGGTCTGTTCAGATGTTCCAGACGCAATGTTAGTAAGCGCCCAAGCAGATTCAAACTGAATGGGACTACAATCAGTTTTGCCCAAGAAGGACACAAATTTGGGGATCAAACTAGCCTGGATAATGTTGTCTATGGGAGGCTGTTTCTCCCTAGAAAGCAGTTTCCAAGCAGCTGAGTTGCTTGGAGCTGGCTTTCCAAATTGGTGCTGTTTATGCCTTTAACAATGTCCTCAGCAGACCAATTTACAGTACCCTGATTGTTGAGGTTTTCCTGCAAGAGAGAAGTAGCATCATCAGGGAATGAGCTGACGTTCCTCCTTTTCAGCATCTGGTCATTTTTCTTCGCTTTCCTCAGTTCCACATTAACTTCTATTCGGCGGTGCCACATTTCTGTACTGTCTTTTCCCTTGTTCTTGAATCTGTTTAGCTGGGCAGCTGATGAATTAGCATTCTCATTCGACAACATGGTTGCAGGAATAAGGGAGTAAGCTAGTAGACAAGGGAAGGCTGCACAGCAGGCTCAGGCATCCACGAAAGGCGGTGCGGGGCTTGGAGACTGCAGGGTCGACGGCCCTCAAAACGTCCACTGCTCCTCAGCCTTCAGAATTTGTGCCTGCTTTTTTCATCCGATGTAGCAAAGAAGGCCTGCTTGTGAGGATTTCTTTCCTGCCTGGTTCCCACAGCTGGAAAGCCCCCAAGAAAATCACACAGAGATCTCCATGAGTGATAAAACTGATTGGCCCATTAGCTCAGTTTTCTTATTAGCTCTTGTAGCTTATATTAACCCATTATTCTCGTCTATGTTAACCACATGGCTCGATACTTTTTTCAGCCGGGCAGATCGCATGATCGCATGTTTTGCCTCTTCAGTGGTCTGGGCTGGACTGGAAGGAATGGGCTTCCTCCTTTCTAACACTCTCCTATTCTCATCGCCCCGCCTCTACTTCCTGTCTGGTTGACCTGCCTATACTTTCTGCCTGGCCAATCAGCGTTTTATTAAAATACATGATTGGTAGAATACAGACAATTCTCCTGCACCAATCCTACAAATAAATTTTAATTTTTTTAAATTTAATTTTATTTTTTATTGAAAAAAAATTCCGCCTCCTCCCAGCCTCCCATTTCCCTCCCCCTCCTCCCGCCCCCCCTCCCCCCACTCCTCTCCCCCTCCCTCTCCAGTCCAAAGAGCAGTCAGGATTCCCTGCCCTGTAGAAAGTTCAAGGTCCTCCCCCCTCCACCCAGGTCTAGGAAGGTGAACATCCAAACTGGCTAGGTTCCCACAAAGCCAGAACATGAAGTAGGATCAAAACCCCATGCCATTGTCCTTGGCTTCTCATCAGTCCTCATTGTCCGCCATGATCAAAGAGTCCGGTTTTATCCCATGCTTTTTCATTCACAGTCCAGCTGGCCTTGGTGAGCTCCCAATAGATCAGCCCCACTGTCTCAGTGGGTGGGTGCACCCCTCGTGGTCCTGACTTCTTTGTTCATGTTCTCCCTCCTTCTGCTCCTCATTGAGACCTTAGGAGCTCAGTCCGATGCTCCAGTGTGGTCTCTGTCTCTTTTTTGAAAACAAACACAAATCATTAGAATCATATGGAAACATAAAGTTTTATATATCACATTTGATCATATTTTCATATTAATTTCTGATGCTTTCTTATAGTAGATTTTATAGAACTGATTTATTTACAAAGACATAGTATAGTTTAACATCAGTAATTCGAAAGGGCTTAAAGTAGAGGTAAGTTTAAATTTCATAATTTTCTACTTAATAACTGTTTTGAAAGATGATGATTAAGGTAAGAGTTTATGAAAGAGGACACTTTAAGACACGTTATTCCCAGTATGCAGCTTTTGCAGGGGATAAATAACCAACATGCTCTCTTAGCAGAATGTGACCTCACCTCCATCCCTTGTATTGGGATTCTGTCCTACACATGCACTGTCTATAAAAAGTGGCGAAAGGAAAAACTTGATGGTGAATCAGGGAAGATCTAGTGTAACCAAGGAGAAATGAATCTAAAAGTTTGCTACAATGCTTTTGTATCAAAGTATATCAGCTACCTTTAGGCATTTGTAGAAAATAGTGACGACTCAATTCCTAGTAAAAATCACTACCTATTAATCAGCTGTTATGATTTCTTTCAAAGTTACATTTAAAATGTCATACTTACACCATATGCATAATAATTATCATTTATTTTTAAAACATAGGATTAAGTTCATCAAATAGAGACCTAGGTTTTTATTTTGCCTTTATCGAATGATTCTTTATGCAAATGCAGATTAAGAACAACCAAAATAACCCAGGGATGGGAAATTCCTAGAGTCATTCTGGGACACAGGACAAGAAAATTTTTCTAAAATGTCAATGATGCATCTTTGCCCTATTTTACTTAAGATTTTAATGACACTGAAACACAAGGCAGAAAAGTTGAGTGCAGTGGTGAAGATCTGAAATATAAATAATTTCCATGAGAACTCCAAGTCATTGCAAAGGAACTGTGCATTTTCCAGGCTCAGAAGTCAGAGACAGGTGGATTTCCGTGAGTTCGAGACCAGCCTGGTCTACAGAATGAGTTCCAGGACAGGTTTCAAAGTCACAGAGAGAAACCCCATCTCCAAAAACCAAAACAACCAAAAAGAATAAGAAAAAAAAAAAAAACAAAGAAAAGAAGACATCTATGTGCTGTTGAAAGGACAGTGGTGTTTTACACATGCTGGTTGACTTTGGCCCACTTGGTTTTGCACGCATGCATGTAACAGACATCATTATAGGCATTTTCCCCAGTGCAGTTCTTTGGGTAAGTTGTCCTTCTGGGTCATTCTGTGCATAGTTGAGCTGAGCTGAGCTTTAAAAAACAGAAGATGAAACCAAAGGGCCTTGCTGACTCGAGATCTCCAAGGACCTAACAGAATAAGCTCATTAAGAAACAATGATACAAACAATTTTAATGAAAAATATTATAATAAAAATTGAACTACCAGTTTCTAGATGTTTGATAGTATCAGAATCTGTATTTTTTTTCTTGTGCTCCAAGTTTTCACTGGTATGTAAAACTGATGTATTTTTTTTGGTAGATTAAATACTCTTCCTTTATGAAACTTTTCATAAATTTGGCTTGTAAATAATTTGGGTTGGGCAGGATCACATGCTCATTAACAGATTACACATTGTTCTGACTAGCTACACCAAACATGCTGCTCCTCAAAATGTAGACATTGTTCAGCTCATGATGACAACTGATGCATGACTTATAGCACCGAATGATCGAGGCATTTGTGCTGACTTAATATTCATATTTATCTTTTACCAGAATTTAGTCATATAGATGATATATCAGGTGACTATTGACAGAGTTTTTAAGGCCGTTCATATATACTTTAAAAGAAAAAATGCATAAATATATCAAAACCCTAAGAAAATGAATTAGATCTTTTTAAAAGCAGAATCAAGAAGTGACCCCTTCTATATGTTTTCTGTGCCATTTCAGTTTCCTCCGAACTGTCAACAAGATGGTTCAAAGATTTGCTTGAGAAAAGCAATCTTTGTCCATTAAGAAAAAAATGCCTTTAAAGAACAAAGAGCCACATTTTCCTTTTAAGTTCACTCAAGTCAGAGTCGGTACCCGAGCGCCTGTTGCTCTTCCTTCAGCAACTTCACTGTGATCTAAGCAACGGGCATTCACAGCCCACGCGGGATAACGAGCCCCACTTCCCTCTCACGACCGCTGTAAATTACTCCGTCAAGAGAAACACTTGTTAGATGCTTGATGTTCAGAGAAAAACACTGACATTTTCCAAAAGGAAAACAAGAAGCAACTTTTCAGCCTATCTTTCAAACTGCAGGCCCCTGCATGGCCACACAAGATGAGACACATCTTAGCACCTGGGCAATCAATTCCAACTTTTTATTGGAGGGAAACACATTGCTGAGCCATATTGTCTTGACATCTCTGACCAGCTATTTCTATAATCTATAATTTAATACCTGCAGAGAAGGAATATCTGAGCAGTTCTATTTCTACCATGGACTAAAAAAGTTAAAGATATGTATTAAAAAACACATACTTTAAAACTCACTAAAACGTATTTACATTGTCTTGCAAGAGGTTTCACTGACCTCGGGAAACTCGCCCAGTATTTAAAATGGACGATGTGAACAAAAGTTAAGCAAATAACTTTCTAAAATGTCACGGGATAATGAAGGAAATGAGAATTAAAAGAAGGATTAAATGATAGAGGGGGAAATAATCAGGGATGAGAAAATGAGAAAAACCTTATTTACATTCCAACTTGTCTTACCTTACTCTGAAACACATTAAAAAGAAAAACACTGATGATTAAGGCTACAGACAAGGCTGAATACTTCTCCCTCAAAACAACTGCATTCCTTTATAATTCCCTGGTCAGAAATTAATACAAATTTTATCTAAACGATTACTGAGACAAAAAAAAAATCAATGCATCATTTTAAAGGCTTAAATGGTGCTGATACTCACCACCCCGCCCCAAAAGCTATGGCCAACATAAGAACGTCCAATGTTGTCTAATGGAAGTGACTGCATAGACACATAGGGATGATACTATCACTATAGATATAAGCAGAGACAGACCCCAGGGAGCCACTGCCCTGGATTCTTTCAGAGAAAAAACAAATATAAAAGCTTTGCTCTTTCTTATGGAAGCTTTCAGCTTGCTTGTTTCAATACAGTGTATTTTGCATTTCTTCTTTCCAAATGTAACATTGAAATGCACAGTTTTGGCTGTGGACTGACCTCAGGAACAAGCTGCCTAGGCAAGGAAGCAAAACAGGGCCCCTCTACACTACAGCATAGCTTTTCTGCTAAAATGGGATGGATTTTGTCAGCTAACCTCTTCTGCTCTCAATGGGAATATTCTTAACTAAACAAAAATAATAATACCTGCTTGAAGGTGCGCATACCATCTCAGAAGTTGTTCAAGGAAACATGCATGAAATGTGCATTTAAGAGCAATATGTCTATGGATAGAACACCCCCCCAGCATATAAGACCTATCTATAAAGGCAATATGTATATTGATACATTAACACCCCCCCACACACACACACGTAATACTTATTCTAAGAGCTATCTTTCCTAAAGGTCACATTTATTTTACATTTCACTAAAATGTGCCTGCCATTTTTTAAAAAAAGTGTTCTATCTTAAAATGCCACTGGCATGTCCTTAAGCCTCAACCTTAGGTACTGCGTATTTCTGTGGTGTATTTTTGCTATGATTCTGCTATGCTGATGCCTTTTGTATGCTTGTTTGGTTCATATATAAGCTGTTACATCTTTTCTCCCAATAAGCAGGATAATCCATTTATTGAGGGCTCCTACAATGGTCACTTTGTATTGACTCCTGACTTTAAAACTAAGATGAACAAAGCTGCATTTTCCTGAACGAAACTTTCATGAGTCTGCGCTACCTCAGGATTCTCCTATCCACCAAATCGCTGAGAAAGATCACGTGCTCTGCCTGGGCTACCACCGGGTGCCTCTCGAGAACACAGGAGAAAGCAAAACTTTGGAAAGCAGAATATGTGTGCCTTTTAATCTCATAAAATTCTAAAAAATCAACCAGCCACACACTTGATAGCACTAATGATTTCTACTCACCAGCAGGCTTCAGCCAGTTGAAAAGGTTGTTTTTTTCATGTTCAGCTTTGATGACTAGGTGGGGACACTAAATTGGCATTGATAGAAACATGTGTTTAATTGCTTCATCATTTACAGTTCTTAGAAGAGATATTGGGTGAACTCAGTGGGAAGCCAAATAAAACCTTAGCAATGTAAACAATGCATTGTTTATTTTCTGCTCCAACTAAAACCCTTTCAGATGCTCAGACTGGTTGTCTGACAGCTCTGTGCTCTCCTGACCAGGTTGTGGTACGTTTTGCAGCTTGTCAAATTTCCTCGCTGCCTTGCACCCTCTTTCATTATACAGCCCTGCTCTGTGCTTAGCCACTGTGTCGGTTCCTGCAGACATACCCTACCTCCGGTCTAACACTACAGTTGATTTGCTAGGCATTCCTCTGCCTCCTCACACTTCACATCTTCCCATTGAATTTCTCCTTTCTACCTCCGTCCTCAGCAATCTGAAGATTCTTTGGGTTTCCTGAATATTTCAATAGCTTTGTGACAGATGTCAATGTGCTTCATTCTGTCCTAACGTGCTTTGTGCAATTTCCTGTGCTTATTTTCATTTCCAATTCCTTCTTTTTTTTTTTTTAAACTGATGGAAACACACTGGTCTCTGTGATTAATGTTATGGGATTTTTTTTTTCCTGATTAAAAACAAAGTTTCTAATTAGTACTTCCTTCAAACGGCATTTATAAAAAACCAAGAGTTCCATAATAATATATCGAGTGTCTTGGAATTAATAGTTTATTGTCTGTGCAAGGAATAAATCAGAACAGAAAAAAAAACCTGAATATTCCTATATAAATGGAAGAACGTTCTCTTTTTCACCTCTAAAAGTGAAAGAAATGAACATTAAATAGTTCAGCCTTGCAATTACAAGATCTAAGCTGACACCATATCTTGGGTGTTACTAGGAGAATGCAAAGCCCTAGCATTTAGTACTCGCTGATAAGGAACCTTTATTTTGGCAAACTGTTTTAACCAGTCAAATTGTGAAACTTTTGGAAACATAGGTGAAAGTTCAAACTTCATTCCTACAGTGTAGCCATTGTGTAATAAAATACCCGAGGTGATTCATTCAGTCACCTTAATATCTACTCATCAAGGAGGAGGAGAAGCGAAGGCGGCATTCTAGCTTTCTCTAGTATAACATGCTAAGTGCGGCATTCTAGTCTAAAAGGTGGAATTGTTCCTTTGAGTAAAATAATTAATGAGCTCAACAAAAGGAAAGCCGTTACGAGAGAGACCTCTAGTGGGAAAACATGCAAGTGTCTCGGAAACCCGTTTTATTGTTTCTGCTTCGTCTGAGAAATAGAACGTGCTCACGTTATTTAAGGTAGTGGCCATAAGGCAGCCAGCCAGATGCCCCTTTCATGCTTAGCACGGGCGATTTGTTCAAGCCAACGATCCTTTGCTGTGTGAAGCTGTGGAAGTACATCAGAGAGAAAGAACTTCTCAGACATCAGACTTTGAAAACTAAATTCTGGGTGTCTAAGATGTTTGAAGAGGGGGTACCCCAATGCTGGAGGAACTAAATTGTTTAGAAACCAGAATGTCTATTTTTTTTTTATTTTGTAGAAGTTAGGTTTGGGTGTAGATAATTCATTTTAATTATAATAACATCAAAGTACTTTGCTGATGGTGAGGCAGGGATCTGGAGTCTTCCAGCTTTTCAAAATAGTAAATTCAATACGTTAGCCATGCAGCCAAAGTTACTTTTAAGAAGAAAACCTCATGAAGTCACTAAAGAGGTACCAAGTACAGGTTAGTTAATGAAAATCCTTGCCTCTGGATTAGAGTAATTCATTTGACTAACACATTACCCAGGAAAGGTTATTATTCTTTTGTTTTCCATGTGGCTTCTTTTGCATCATCCTCTGATACATATAGTTTAATTTTAGCTGCTTTTTAAACTCTTTGAAGCAACAGTACTGATAAATGTGACAATTACGATATGCTGTCTGCCTGGATACAGCACTAAACTGTAGAGGAAACCTGCACCATAGTATTTACTAGCTGGCCAGTCCTAAAGCTCCTAACTTACACAAGCATTAGTTTAGGGGCACAATGTGATCCAGAAACATGTGGGTTACAAAAGTATTCCAGGCTTACGGGAGAGGTGAAAGAGCTTAGGGATGCACCATTTCTAGGTTAACACAGCAATGGACTTGGTCTCTCTCTCTCTCTCTCTCTCTCTCTCTCTCTCTCTCTCTCTCTCTCTCTCTCTCTCCTAGCTGCAAGAACTAGTTGCTCACCAAAACAAGTCCGCAGACTCTACGATGATGGCAGATGTAACCAGCACCTTCAGCAGATCCCACCAATGAAACTACAGCTTTTCTGCTATGTTGTACACATTTAGAGCAAAATTAGTTCCTCTGTCACTACCTGATTTCTTACCTATTTTTTTAAAAATCCGCCTTTTGTTTTAAATAATGAACTCTATCTGAAATTAAATTTCAGAATGATGAAATTTTAGTGGTTATTTGTCAGATAGCTCATTTCAAGGCTAATGCATTGCCACAAGCTCTGGGGAGGTCTACCTTTCCACTCTTACCGAAGTTGAAGACTATCTTGAAACAGGACATCATTATTCAGAGGAAGTATAGTTCATGAACCTTCAGATTTGAGCTGGTGACTGGGAGCCACTTAAGCAAGAGGAAAGAAGAAAGACGGGAATTAATGAGAGGCACATATTTTATTTTTCCAAATTTGGTCCTAGTTTTGAATGGAGATTTTTCTGATAAAGAAAGATTTAAAAAACAACAAGTGTTTAAATTAAAATTTTAAAGATATGAATGAGTTTATTTGTTTTTATCTGTCTAAAATCAATAGGCTGGCTGAAGAGATATCCTCACTATACGAAAGCATATAACATCGGACTTGACTGCTCTCTTGCACATTGCCACCTTTAAAACTTGAATCGCTTTCACCATGATGTCGTGTTGTTTTTTAAATAAGCTTGCAAACTTCAATTCACAGCTGCTTCCTTCCCTTTACACAGACCAGGGAAGCCCAGCTCTACTGGTACTGCATCTCCCAAATCCTCTCCTTTCTTCCTGCCTAAGTAGTTCCCAGTCTTCTTTCTCCATAAAAAAGTATACCTCTGTTCAGTTCAGTGCCCCATTTTTTAATTGGGTTAATTAGCATTTTAAAGTCTAGTTTCTTGAGTTCGCTATATATTTTGGAGATCAGACCTTTGTCTGTTGCGGGGTTGGTGAAGATCTTCTCCCAGTCAGTAGGTTTCCTTTTTGTCTTAGTGACAGTGTTCTTTACTTTACAGAAGCATCCTAGTTTTAGTAGGTCCCATTTATTCAATGTTGCCCTTAATGTCTGTGCTGCTGGGGTTATACATAGGAAGCGATCGCCTGTGCCCATCTGTTGTAGGGTACTTCCCACTTTCTCTTCTATCAGGTTCAGTGTGTT